TGTTATCAATGCAACCTGCCTTCCATGCCATGCCTATGGCGGATTTCAAAAGTTCGAAATCGAAAGAACAAAGATTCGAACTACAGCTTACAAGACTGAAAAATTCAAAGCTGAAAGACAGAGATTGCCGAGTGCGACTTTTCCAAATGTAAAGTGGAAATGCAAGACTAGCAAGGAAGAGCCGAGATGCAATATGTGATTGCTGAGTCCATTCGTTGTGATTGCCTGCGTGATTACGTAGAGCTTCCTCCTCCAATAATCTCTGCGTGAAGCTGGGACACGAGAACGAAACTATGAAAATAAATAAAACTATACAGGAATACAAACAGGACACTAAACTACCTTTTGCAATCCACCCTTTCTAAAAATGGGAGGGTCGATGATAAAAGGCACCAAAAAAATTGACACTAAGTAGACCTATCCTAAGGGTATTGTTAATGTCAGCATTAAAATTAGTACAAGAACAGCAAGGAAAAACGGACCAATCATTTAAAAATGAGACTTCTAGCTTCATATGCCACAGGCCACCACTTAGCATGTCTCTTGTAAGGAGAAAGTGCTTGTTTGGACATTCCATTTTTCATATTTCAAAATGATTTTTGTGACTTTTAAAAAATGAAAGTTGTTTGACTAGCATAAGTGCACATTCTAAAAGTCTATTCACAGTAGCATAAAAAATCATATTCCAAAAAAACCAGCGAATGTTGCTTATGGCACTTTAAATGTGAGTTAAAATTTTTAACTCCCCTTTTTCCATGTTGCCCCTTATTAATATTTTTTTAAAATGAAAATAGAAATATTTATAAATATTTTTTCAACATATCATTTTATTATTATTTATGCTTTTTTATTAGTTAAAATATCAAATTTTATATCATTAAAAAAATTTTATTATTTATTTCTAACATTTAATAATTATATATATATATACATTTTTTAATTATAAATTATTCAAAATATAAAATTTTACTTTATTTACACATTCTTTTACCATATATGTCACTCACCATATCAAATTTTATATTATTTAGATATACTTTTAATAAATCAACTTTAACATAACAAAAATCACATATTATAAAATTTGTTCATTTTTAGTAACTATACATTTATAACTACTTTTCATTACATATTGTTTAAACAATTTTCAATTTATAAAATTAACTTTTAAAAAAAATGTGTCCAAGGATAAATCTCATTATAATAACTAACTTTTATTAAGTTATTTTTTGCTAAATGAACTTTTAATAAATTAAAAACTAGACGCACCCTAAACTGCTCGGCAGTTGAGATCCATTTCAACGATCCTAAAGCCTTTGTTCCAACAGTAAGCCAGTCCCATATTGAGGGCTAGTAGTACACAAGATACTTTGCATGCATTGCCCTCCTTTAACCTTTATGATTATGAAGTAACCTACCACCCAAGAATTATCTTTTTTTCCAAATGACTGCTTCACTGATATGATCTCCTTGTGAGGAGGAGTCTCCCATAATCGCTAGACACACCTAACCTGGAAGATGATTAGTATAGTAATTAATTAACTGACTAATTTCCTCTCAATAACACTAGAGCACTCAATCATCCTCCTGTCTTGCAAAGCTTTGTACAGACTAATTTCAGCATTCATCTGTTGGTCAAATTAACCTCACTATTGAAAAGATTGTTGCGTCTTGTCATCCAGATATCCCAACATATGTATGTAAAGATTGATTTTCCAAGGGAGTTGCTTTGTTTGCCCAGAACCATTTGAAACTATGTTGGCACTACTGAAGTTGTTCCACTGGGTTTGGGATACGACTTGTCTCCACCTGCTCTCACCCATCTTGCAATTTCTGAGAAGATGGGATACGACTTGATAGCTTTTAGGAACGATATTGACGACGACCCTACTTCCAGGTCTGGGTTCTAAATTTGCTGAAATAGATATTAAGGGTATTCTTGTCTTCTCAAAATATATCATTTAATGACTAAGAAGTCTAAATTTGGGAATTTGCTGAGACTTAAATGGGATAAAATCATCCCTCTGGAATTTAAATGTCATTCTCTCCAATTGTACTGGTTTGAGATTTAATATAGAATAAAATTATTATCGTGTCATTAAATAATTAATAAATTTAAAATATTACATTTTATAATATTATTCTTATAAATGCATTTATCATTTAATATTATAAAAATAATTTTATATAATATAGTAGATTTCAATCATTAAAGTTGAGACTCGGTAGTATGAAAATTAGGAGGAGAGTTAGAGAAGGGATCAGCTTCGTGGCTCTCAATGTGGCTCTAACCTTTTATTTAGATGAAAAGAAAAGTTGGGACAAAAAAAAAAAAACCGAGAGAGAAGGATAAGAGAAAACAAAATGAAAATAAAACTGAAAAAAAAAAATATCGTTTCTTGTATTTGGATGAATAAAAGAAAGCAAGGAAAAGAAAAGACGAACAAATATCATGATAACCATTATGCTTTTATATCAAAATATATTATGTATGTGATTATTTTTATAAAAATAAATTGAAAACAAAAATTATATTAAAATTAAAATTAACATCATCAAATTAATTTAACATTAAATTAGTTGTTAAAAATGTATTTTCGTTTCGTTATATTGTAAAATTATTATATTTTGAAATCAAATAATTTTATAAAAATGTTATTTTAATATTAAAAAATAGAAATGAAACGCATCAACCTCAAAGCCATACTATACAATAATTCTTCTCTAACAGCATCTGAATTGGTTTCGGTGGTGCTTATCATGTGATGATCATTCTGGATAGTCCAAATTTTTAATTTGAATAATACAAATTCATATATTTTATTTTATATAAATAAAAATTATAAATTTTAACAAATCTACTCTATCATCAATTTGGACAATATAAATTTAATTTGAATAATAAATTTGACTATCCAGATATTTTAAGTTGCAATTGTTTTAAATTTTTTTAAAGTTCCATTTTGAAGATTGTCTTTATCTTTTTTTTTAAATATTATATTTATAATAAAATAAAAATTTTAAAAAAAGTTTAATATTAAATCTAGACTATCTAAAATATATTTGGATGGTCAATTTGTAAAATTATTAAAAAAATATTAAATTGAATGATCAGATTAAATTTGTATTTTTGAGACTAATGATAAGATAGATTTATTATTTTTTTGTCCAAAATAAGACATATTTATTAAAATTTAAAAATTTTTATAATAAATATAAAAATAAAATTTTAAAATCTAAACAGCCCAAATGCTGATCACATAATGAGTACCGAAACTGGGCTCTACAACATATGAATCCCTCTTTCTCTTTTCAAAGAGTCAATTAATATTAAATAAAAAATAAAGGAAACAAGCTACAAGAAAAATACTTGACTTTGACACCAAGGCAAAGTATTATTGTGCAAAGATGTGGTTGTTAAATGTTAATATATGAATTAACAAAAAGGAAAGACAACAGTTGCTAATGTCATTGTCGAAGAAGGAAGCTCTATCCAGTTCAAAGTTAAAGAGCATTGGCATATGAATCTCAACATGACTAATCTCTCTTCTCGCTTTTTTTCACTCACAGCAACCTTGAAGGAAAGTGCTCGACGATTGTGGAGAACATCTGATGGAACAATGCTCTGATGTAATGATTGTGGGCAGAGTCTGATGAGTCATATGCCGGAAGGGAGAGAGGAGAGTAGAGGGTTCTTACTTCTTACATCCTATTTTTTCCCTCCCTTTTTTTCTCATTTTTCTTTCATCATCCAAGCTAAAAAATGTTAATTTATTTTTTCTTCTCGTGTCTTCCTCATGTTTTCTTTCATCTCATATTTTTCTCCATTCAAACATAACAAAAAGTGAGAGAACGGAAAAGAAGTGGGAGGAAGATGAAAAACAGGCAAAGAGGATGAATTCAATTAAAGTGAAGGAATCAATAATCATGTTGGTCAAAAAAAAAAAGAATCAATAATCATGGCATCTTTGACGCCGTACAGGCACAGCCTAAAAATTATAAGCTTGCCGTACACACCCGAATCCCTCTGCTCTTAATACTAGTTTTTTTTTTTTTTGGAATAATAGAATAAATTTTTTCATTTACATATTTTTATGTCATCTATGCCATTTCAGTCTTGAACATGAAGTTGGGGCAATTGTTCTGTTTTATGCTGTATCTCACTAATGAGTTGGAGGAAAACAGGAATTCCCTTGGTTAAGTTTTCACAAATTACTATGAATTTAGTAGAATTACATAAAAAATTAAAAAATATTTTTAATTCTAAAAAATTGCATTTTTTTAAAATGTTACAGATTATGTTTGAATTACATTTTTTTTCCTTGCCAATGGGTTAAGTAATTTGATTTCATTTCACCAAAAATATTGCCCTCGATAATGAAGATATAGTTATAATTTTTCTTTCTGCCACCTTACCGGGAGGAAGAATCAAAAGGGAAGAGAAATTTAAATTTGTTTATTACCCCTTTTTTTGCCGCGATATATTTGAAGATCTAATCCATAAAAAGTTCCATGTCCATTTATATTCAGCAAAATTTTGCAGCCAAGCTTCCTGGGGAAGCTAAGATTGATTGGTTTGAAATACATCATAATCCCCGGAGAAATTACGTAAAACCCACCCTTAGGAATTTCTTTCCGGCACAGAATCGGAAAGTACTGCAGCATGTTTTGCTTGCCAGAGAACCGACGGCATTTTTGTTTTCAAAATGATGCAGTAAGATGTAATGTGGGTGTCTATATGCGGGTCTATGAAATTTATGAATAATAATTATTAATAACTTCAATTTTACTGAACGCTCACTTAATTCTTAGCGTATCACGATGAGTCCATCTTACCGTAGACGCTTGATCGAGCAAAGATAACTGGTGACAACTGGAAATTTCTTTCAAGAGAAATAATAAGCCTTTTTCGCCACTGTTAACGAGAAGGGGACGAGACTGATAGACTATGCATTAGATGTTCGATCTAGCATCGAAAACAAGTCTTAACCATAAAAAACAAGGCACTGGCATAACCCGCCGACTCAGACACTGATAACGATGTTTTTACAACGATTAAAAAGGAATGCAAAATATGCCAGAAAAACTAAGATAACACGAGACAAGACAACACCCAACGGGCTAAGAGCCAGCGCCATAGAACACATCTCAACCCTAATAGTAGTTGATACGATTGTTGGAGGAGGATTTTGCAGGAGTAGGATAAACAGTCTCCTTGACATTCACCTGAGTCTGGTACTCGGTGGTGATTCCTTGCACCTTATCAGTAACTCTGACGGTTGAAGTAGCCCTTGCCTCTTGCTTGTATCCAACGTCACCAGCTCTGGTCACGTAATCCCCAGATTTGTAAGTCTCAGTGTAGCGATTAGAGACCTTGCAGTTGTTATCGTTGTAAGCTGTTCGTGACATGCTAGTGTGACTGTTCGCAGATCCATCGTTGGGAACAAGCGCAGCATATCCGGTGTACGCAACCTTACCATTCTTCGCCATGGTTCCTTTGCTGCTGTGGATATAGCAAATCATGTCAACTTACAGAAAGATACTGGTTCTATAACTCGTGCAAGGACACTAATGAAAAGATAGGAGAGGATATGAAAGCAGCTGGCACTCATTAACTTAACATTTTACACGCCTCTTCGCATCAGAATTTATCAGACGATACACAACATTAGCATTTCAACCAGAACTTAAATTTCCTACAAAACTCGGCAGAAGAATCCCAAGAGAAATGATCATAATACCAATGAAAACAGTTTTTGAAACGGCTTATATCTAGTAGATACCATGAATACAACGAGTAACTATCTTCATGCGTAAAAACCACGGCTAACCAAGAGGAGAAATAGTTAATACGAGATAGAGACAAGAGAAGAAGAAAAGAAAGGGTGAGGAACAAGAAACCTGATATCGCACAGAAGAGGAAATCAGAGAAGACGCAGTGAAGTGAATCGTAAGGCAAGGTAGAAGAAACGAGGTTATATTGGCCAGTTCGGAAGGGCAATGGGCGGGATTTTTCCCGCTCGTAGTATCAGCCCGTAACCGTTAGAATCTGCCCGTTGACCGTATTCGGTGCCCCTATGGGCTATGGCCACGGCACAATCAGATGTCAATCAGGGATGCTCGGACTGCAAACCGTATCGTGATCGTGCCTTTCATGCACGAATTACGGTTATATCGGCGTACTAAATTCAATTAAAAAAAAAATCTTTTGACAAAAAAGAAAAAGAAAAATTGGTAAATAAAAAGGATGAGATTAGAAAGCAAATTAGTCTTAGGGACCAATCTTCTTGAAAGACCAAAGTAATTATTTTATTCAGAAAAGGATGGAGAGAATGGATCAAAATGCCCTGAGAGAAAACAATACAAATCGAAGAGGATTTCTGGCCCTCCTGCTTCTCTAAGTTGTCACCTTCCTCATTTGCCATTTCACTTTCATTGTCATTGATCACTCTCAAACTCGCCTTCATTGCTGTTCACGCCATTGCACGTAATCTCTCCTGAACTCTCTGCAAAGCAACATAATATTGTTGAGATTTACTATCATAGTTCTCTAGGAATTTGAGATGGAAGAGGAGAAGGAAGTTATAGAACAAGCAAAAGCCGAAGAGGCAGCCTTGCCTCCACCCACTATTGTCGGCGGTAGATGTTGGGGTCGTTGGGGCCTTTCTTTTTTTGTTCTCTCAAATCTTCAAAAGGCCATTGCCGTCGCTGCCGAGGAAATCTTTTGCAATGTATGTTTGAAATGCTTTTTATTTGCTCTCTAATAAAACATTTCATTATCTGTATTTTGATTTCTATTTTCTTGTCATTTTTTAACTCAATTAGAAATTTAGTATTCTTTCCAATGCCATTTTATCATGCTATTTTGCTTCTTTATTTATGATTTTTTCCCTTTTGCAAGATAGGCTACTATAGTTGCCAAGACGGCATCCAAAACCATTGCTAAACACTTCTAAAGATTCAGAATCTTCTAAAGAGATGAAGGGGAAAATGTAGCTTTAACTGGTAGGAAAAGTGAAGATGAGAATGACAAACTACAAAAATCTACTCTGGAAAAATTGGAGAAAGCTAGCAATGAGTTAATACTTAATCGAGTAAGGCATGAAAAAACCTTTTTGTTTTTCCCCCAATGATGTTGGTAGTAGATCTTTAATGGATTCCATATAAGAGCTCATAAGTTTCTTTGTTTACAAATGATTGGCCATCGTTAATGTTGCCTTTTCTTTCATCTTTAAGGTCTATGGTTTGAAATTGAATTGGTGAATATGTCATCTATAGTTTGCAATCCCTTCTTGAATTTCATATTCATATATTTGCTGCCAAGTTAGTTACCTACTTGCCTGTGAAATTATTACTTGATAAAAGCCTTGAACCTATTTTCTTGTAAATAACTAACTTTCACTCTTCTACTTGTGACTTATTCTATTTTAGTTTAGGCCTTGGAAATCATACTTGATTTGCTGACATTTGTGTTGTTATTGGGTTATGCTAATGCTTTGTATTCCTAGTTTAATGAATAACTAAATGGCATGTTTGCTGACATTTCGAGAAATATGCATTTCTCAATGTAGAAAATTTTAGATAACTCTCCATGATGTTGCTTCTCTAGGCTGTACTTGTAAGTTGATGTTTATGGTTATGTAAATTTTTGTTAATTTCCATGGCTTATTCTATTGATTTTGATTCTACCACTGTCAGTTAAATAACAAATGTATCAATTAAAGACAGTTCCTAATTTAAGTCTAACTAATAATAATTTGTTAGTTTATGGCCAGCATTTTGATTGTGGTGGTAGTGTAATAGATCCTCACATTTAATGCTAGTTTCTCTTTTTTGTTGATGCTGTGACACAGCTTGGAGGGCCAAATAGTGAGTCTTCTTTTTCTATTACCGTTTAACAGGGACTGGTTTCTTCTTCTTGTTCTCTAAACCAAATTTATGGCATTGTTTTTATTTGGTAAAGTATAATAAATATTAGGTTGCTCAGTGGCTATCAAAACCAATTTGCTTCACTGTGTTAATTATTTTTGTTACCTTAGATTTAGTTGAAAGCTATCAAGCACAATAATTGTAAAAAAGCATGGCATTTATGATTCAATCTAAAATTTAATAAAAATATTTCATGCCATTGATTTTTGCTTCATTGATTTATGGGTGTAAGGCTTCTAGTTTAAGGTGCACTTGTTATGGCTTGGGGTGCGAGGGGTATGATTTAGGTGCAAAAGGTATGGCTTAAGTGTAAAGCTTTTGGCTTAGGTACAAAGCTTCTGATTTAGCATGCAAAGCTTTTAGTTTAGTCATTTTCATGTAATTCACAGTTATTTTTATGTAATTCAGGGGTAATAATAAGGACGTGCTCTCTATGTATTTGATTTACATGTAATTCATTAGAGATTACATGTATATCATTTCTTAGTCATGCTCATGAGTTTCTTCACATATTGATTTATATGTAATCCATAATTGTTTTCATGTAATTTTGAAGGATTGACAGGGGGTTTTCTCTGTGTATTTGATTTACATGTAATCCATTGGAAATTACATATAAATTATTCCTCAGCCATACTCACAAATTTTTTTTTCATACTGATTTACATGTAATTCATAGTCATTTTCATGTAATTTTGGGAGATTTAAAGGGAGATTACATGTAATTGTCTAAGCCAAAAGTCTTGCATCCTAAGCCAGAAGTACTTACACCTATGCTAAAACCCTTACACTCAAGCTAGAAGCTTTGCATCCAAACCAAAAATCTTGCACCTTTTGATTGTTGAATTTACTTATAATTTTTGATGTTTACATGTAATTAAAGGGTTTTGAATTTTTTTGGCTATATTTTTCGACGACCATTCACCTAAATGCAGAAGCTCTAGCTAATGCGCTGTCAACTATTGGAGTTTTGGCCAGAGTTTGCTGAACCTCTGGTGATCGGAGCTCCGGCGACCAAATTGTGTGCCTTTTTTATTTTTTTAGTTAACATGAAGGGGAATTTTAGTCATTTGATCAACTTGTTTTATAAATAAAATAATAGGCTTGGCCCTTCATTGTATTTTGGTCGTTAGGAACCATTTTGGTTTCAATCTAATCCTTTTCACCAATTTTCCCAAAAGAAAATTGAAGTATTGGGAATATTATTCTTAAACATTTCAGAGTGATAATTGTAAGTGTTATTTTTTTCCCAAAAAATGTCTCCCTTAAAATATTGGAAACAACAATTGCACATCAAGTATATCTCTCTCAACTAAATTAGGATTTGTACTTACAATTATTTATTTATATTCCTTCCGTTCAAAAATATAAAGCATTTTTAATTAAATCTTACCCTCAATAGAGTAGTTTCTTACTTTCAAATTAACTATATCTTTTTATATTTATCTCTATTAAATATCCTACAATAAATATAAAGTTATTATTAATAGGGTCATTTTTGAAAAAAGGATAATGATTAATCTTAAAAAATTAAAAATGCCTTATATTTTTTAACATCCAGCTCCTTAAAAAATATCTTACATTTTTTAACGGAAGGAATAAGTGTTATCTTTATGGGTCATTGTAGATACAAAACTATTGCACATCAAAACTTACCCTTCATGTTCTTTTTGTTTTCGTAGTATCTTGGGATGAGCAAAATCGAATAAAACAAAAAATGAAACCGAATCAAATTGAATTTGGTTTATTTGATTCCATCCATCTACTTGATTATATCATTTCATTTGATTTTTTTTTATAAATATGGTTGATAGGTTTATTTTGGTATGCAAATTTCAAAATCAAATGAATTGAATTAATCGAATTCTTTACAGTGTTTTTTTTTCTTATGTATATATGGTTTATTAGTTTATACTATATATATTTTATTTTATTTTTTATATTTTCAAAATAAATAACTTATATTTTGTTTCCTCTTCCATTTGGTAATGGTTTGTGGTTATTTTTCTATTTATGTCTACATAACTGGTAATATTACACGCGCGCATATGCATGATACAATAGATGTATATATATATATATATATATATATATATAACATAGTTTAAATTAGAGGTGTTTAGGATTGTATTCGTTCCGGTTGGCTAGTATCTATCTTGGTCATGTCAAAATAAGCTTGTCCTTGATTGAGATAGGATGGGACCAAAAAAGTCAGGACAAGATGGCACTTGGAATACCATTCAAGATATCCCGTCCCAATATTATATATATATATATATATATATGTAAACACTCTTTCTATTAAAAAATATAAAATATTTTTTAAGAAATTGAATGTTAAAAAATATAAAATATTTTTAATTTTTTAAAGTGTAATTATTATTTTTTAAGTACTTCTATTAAATAAATCACTTTATGTTTATTTTAAGGTGAAACACCCTATTAAATAAGGATAAATATAACAAGATATAGTTAATTTAAATGTAAGATATATTTTTAACGAAAGGAGTATATTCCTTTTATTATATGTTTGTGTGTATATATATTGAGGAAAAATTAGTGAAAAAGACCTTATTGGAAGGGAAATTGGTCCCAAGGACCAAGTACAATTCAAAGACTAAAGCTAATATTTTATTCATTAAATGATATGAGTAAATGACTAAAATACTTCTCTATTCAAACCAACGAAATTAAAAAAAAAAACGAAGGCTGCTTGTGCGACATATGCGCCTTAGGTTAGAAGCTTTACACTCAAGCCAGAAGGCATTGCACTCCAAGCAAAAGCTTTACACCTGAGATAACTAAAATTACTAATTTTTATTATCATGAGTATAAGGCTTCTGATTTGAGTACAAGACTTTTGGCTTAGAGTGCATGTGTTGAATACGTAGCCTTTGTTTTTTTTTTATTTTCAATTTTGTTGGTTTAAATGAATGGATATTTCGATCATTTGTTCATATTATTTAATGAATAAAATATTACCCTTGGTCCTTGAATTGCATTTGGTCTTTGAGATTAATTTTCCTTCCAACAAGGTCTTTCTCACCAATTTTCCCATATATTAATTACTATGTTGTTTTTATTGTTTATTCATTTATATTTTTTGTTTATTTTTACTTTATTTAATTTTGCACTACTTTGTAATACTTAGTGTGGCCAAGTAAATGAAATATATTTTTTTATAATTATTGATATGGATTTAAAGAATTAAAAATACAAACCCATATTGTTGCCATTCTAGTAATCTAGTAAGTTTATTTTTAAGTCTATACCTGATTGTTGTTGCTTATTTTAATATAATTTTATAATAGGTTCTAATCAAATAGCTTGCAGGTGAATATGAGCTCTTGTCCTCATATCTATTTGTTTGTGTGTGGAAACTCAATTGTTTAATCATATATATAAAAATATGATTATTTACACATATCAGTTAAACATTACTAGTCATTTGAAGATACAAGTAAGAGTGGTTACTAGAACGTCTTTATCTCATCTCAATCATATCTACACTCTTACTAGCACAAGACAATTTTGAAGATGGATGAGACAGGGGAAGGGTGTGTCTCAGTTCCATCTTCTCTTATCTCATGAACATTTCTAGTCCCACATAGCTCATTGCAAAACTTCATAACTGAATTAATTAACCAAACTGAACCATCAAAATTTAGTTCGATCAATTTTGGTCCAAAGAATCAACACTGTTTGATTGATTAGTTTTGGGGTCTGCATCCTCTTATTGCTTTTCGCAACTGCTTCTCGAAATCTTTAAATCTCGTCCAGATAAATAATCAGTCAGCCCATGATGCATCATATCACGAGGATTCAAAAAAGGAAAATGATATTAAAGTAAAAAAAAATTATATCTATGATAGAAATTTCTGGAAAAAGAGTTACAAGAATTGATTTATACAGTTACATTTAGAATTTAAATATTATATTTATAATTAATACATTTGAATTTGTAATTATTATTTAAATAATTGCAATTAATTTTTCATAGAAAAATTTACTAGAAATTTACCTGTTATTAATTCCTTCTTCGAGAACTTAACTGTCATTTCCCTTAGTCTAAGAAGAAAGAATTAATTAATGACAATTGGGTATTGGTAATTTTTTCCCCAAAAAAATAAGTTACAAGTATTTATTCAAATAATTGCAAATTGAGATTTTTTAGTTAAATAATGAGATGGAAGGCAAAATAAACTAAAGTTGGTGAGTAGTGTGGACTCTCACCATTTAAGTAAGTGATTGAGATTTTAAATTACAATCCTTATATATATAGTAACTTAGTTAGAAGAGGTAAATAATTTGTCTTCTGTGCCTCGGAGAAAAAAATATCTGTCATGAGCGAAATTTACCACCCCTTGTGCTATCAAAAATGAAAAAAAGATACCTAACTAAAAAGAAAAAGAAAACGAAAAAGAAAAAAAAGATAGATATTTCCATTAATGAAATAAATGTCACCCCCGTCTCTGTAAACAGTGTCATCACCTTTCACATTCCATTTCCTCTTCCCATTTCAGCTGAAGTTAATTCGAGCAATTTAATTTAGATTTTAACCAGAAAATGAGCTCTAATCTTACGAGATTTACACCAGCAAAAGGAAAATTTATCACCTCCTCGGCTCCTCCCCTCCATCTCCTATTTCAATTAAATTATTACTACTCGCGAGGATGAGATATCCTCAATCAACAGCTTCACGTCGTGACCAATTCAATCAAAGTACTAAAATTCAGTGTAGAGCTGCCACAAGGTTCAACAGCTTTCATGGCGGATTGTTTGAGAGACCCAATGTTACTGCGCATTGTCTTCCCCTTTTCACCTGACAAGCTTGATTCCAAAACTCTGATGATCTCATCCTTAGTAATAACCCCATTCTCAACAGCCATGGCTACCCCCCATTCCCTCTCCAGCATCAAAGTGTTCAACCTCTGATCTCCGAAGAACGGCCTGCAAATCATGGGCACACCACCTGCGATGCTCTCCAAGATCGAATTCCACCCACAATGTGTCATAAAAACACCAGTCGAGGAATGTTTAAGGATGTCCACTTGAGGAGCCCAAGGAACAACGATCCCTTGTTTCTCTGTCCTTTCCAAGAATCCTTCTGGTAATTGCTTCTCAGGGTTGCCTCTAAATGACCATATAAATGGGAATCTGCCTTCTTCCAAGGCTTGTGCTAAAGCAGATAGTTCATGTGGGGGAGGTAAGATGACACTTCCAAAGCCAATGTACAGTACTGATGCAGTTTTGTGCATGTCAAGCCATTGAAGGCAGCCATGTTTGTCTGGGATCGCAGGTTGTAGGGTGGTTAAAGCTAAGGGTCCTATGTGGAGTAACATTCTGAACTTTGATTCGAGGTCGTTCACAATGGGAGGGAGGATTGTGTCGTAGGAATTTATAGCTACTGCGGTTGCTTTTGGTAGCATTTGTCCTGCTTTGTGGATCATCAATGCAAAAGGTTCCTCTATTTCTCTCACAATTCCTTCGGGTAAGTCCCTGACCTTCACTGAAGAAAAGCAAGGAAGGAAACTTAGGATTTGGTCTGCGCAGGCTGCACATCGGAGGGTAAAGAAATGAAAGGGTCAAATGATGAAGAAAATACTCAAGCAATATATGAACACAAGGCCCAGGATAAATCAAATATGAGTGTTGTTTACTACACAATTCAAGAAAGAAATAAAATGAGAAGAAGGGTATATTAAGGCTGCCCTTGGTATGATAGAGGGAAACTGAAAGGTAAAAGGGTGAAAAGGAAGAGTAACAATCACCTTTCTCCAATTTGATATATGAAGGAGAAGACAGAAGGGAAAATGTATAAGACACTTGAATCATTAATATTATACCTCTAAATATTATCCTATAAAGTAAAAAATGAAGACCTTCATTTGTTATATATAGAATAGTTTCAGAACTTATGAGTACCTTTGGATTAAAATTTGGTGAACTTTCTCTTTTAATTTTAATTTTAATTAAAATACTTTTCATAAAAATGGAATTGGGAAAGCCATTGTTGTAATATATTTTTATTAAAAAGTATCAAACAACTCTCCAAATCCCAGGATAAGTTGGAACCAAGGTGCTGAAAAATCAGAGGTTAATAGTTAAAGATAACCAAAATAACATAACCAAGAAGGCATTTTGTGTCTAGAATCTTCTCTCTTCAAGAGGACCAATGGCCACAAAATCCCTCCGGGGAACTGTCGTAGAATAACTGATAGAATTGTAAAAGATCGGTAGGAATCAAATTGAGATCCCGAAATATTTAGATCTTACATGAATTTGTAAGTGCTAAAGTTATTTAACAACGTGATAGTATATGTAATATTTAGATTTATACTGAGATTTTGACGACTTTGATCAGAATTGTTGTCGTCGCGGTCACATGTAATTGAATGAAATTTCTCTGGCTAAAGAAAACAAGATGAATGATGGATGAAACTTGAAAGAAATGAGAAAATCTGGAGATGAGTTCGAAAATTACGCTTACCATCATCATCACAAGGAAATTTCTGGCGAAGAAGATCGGTGACGACATGAGTTAACAGGGCATGAGGGCCAGCCATCCAAACAGGAATCCACTTGGCACGCATTTGCTCTGCCATTTCTGCGCCAAACCAGAGAAACGCGTCCGTGACAATGCACGTGATCTTCTTCCCTTCCTCCGCCACGGCCTGTTCCATAGCTTGCTGGTAGTTCTTCTGCATTTCCCTGAGGAACAGATGAACCCGCTCCAGGGGATGTCCGGAAGGGACATAATCCGCCGGGACGCCGTCGTTCACGTTATAAGGCTTAATGTTGGGAAATTCAAGGAAAATGGAGGCATGGGCATCGGCAATATTGGTAGCGGTGCAGAAGAATGAGAATGTGACTTTGGGTGAATCTGCTGCGATTCTCTGGACAATGTTCAACAGAGGAACTGAATGAGTGCCGAAGGGGAACGCCAAAATGGCCACATGCAGGGTTTCCGAGGCGGCTTTCATGGCGGTGAAGCTCCAGAAGTTTGTGTTTTCTTTGAATGAAAAGCAAATAAGAATTTTTGAGGACGAAAATGGGAATATTTGAGCTTTTAACGGAGAAAACCGAAAATAGGAATTGCCTGAGACTGAAGCAGCTGGTTCCTGGTGGAGATCGTATAATTTGAGGACGAGCATGGATGAGATGAGGCGTGGGCGCGTGGCTATCGGGCTATGTGTTGCAGAGAAGTAGGTTTTCTGGTACAAAACTTAATTAAAAAAAAAAAGCCGGCCACCCAGATCAGTAACTTATATGAAGAAATGGGCTTATTCTCTGAATCTAGCCCACCAAAATCAATAACTAACGAGGTACCTCGTTAGGCAAAGCTCGTTATCCGACGCTATCAACGAGGGCGACAAATCCAAAGCCAATCTCACTCTTTAGTCTTTGTATTATTTTCTAAAATATAATAATTAATATTTATTTTCAAAATTATTTCTCTGTAATTCATTGAGAAACGTTTTATTTATAAACTCATTTTATTATAATCATTAATATCCGTGAAAAGTAATTAGAAAGTCACTTATTTTTTTATAATCTTAAAAATATTAATGATCATTTCTTAAAAATCATGAAGTTATTTAATTTTATCATGTACTTCCTAGATTCTATTAAAAAACACATATCATCTCACTATAATTAAGAAGAGATAATTAAATTATTAAATTTGTATGAAAATATATTAACTTTTAATTTTATTTTTATTTAAATAAAAAATTAAATTTACATGACATTTTTTATAATTAATGAATTTAAATAAAAATAATACTCTCTCCATTCAAAAATATAAAGCATTTTTTTAGAAAAATAAAGACTTATATTATTTATATTCCGTCTCATTATTGAAGTTCCAAAATCCATGACACACTGTTGAAGAATGGCTTCCATATTTGTAGAATTATACTCCCTAAAATATAAAATATTTTTAACTTCTTAATAAGGATTGATAAGAAAAAAAAAGTAAAAAGTGGTATACCTATCATTAAAATAGTTAAAAAAAATTATATCAAGATTACCTTTCAATTAAAATCAATCTATTATACTAACATTTAATTTCTTTCCATCATTGTATATAATCTCTTCTAAAATATATTTATTAATAAATACATTAGTGAAAAAAAATTATACTATTAACTTTTTCAATTTGTCCCTGTATTTTAGATTAACAGTAATGGACATGAAATGACCACTATATATATATATATATATATATTAAACCAAAGAGAAAATGTCCATTAATTTGAAAGTCCAGAAAAATGTGGCGTATGTTAGTTGTTACCCTCCCCAATTCTCCAGCCGGCACTTTTCATGAATTTTCCCTGAAATTTACTATCCTGTGAATAACTGAATATGAGTCGTCAATATTTCCTGAGGCACTTGAAATTTGTCTTGAAAGATGATATGGATTTTCAACCCACTTTTAAGATTGACTTTATGAGAGTGACAAACAAGTACTAATTGCCATTATAGTGACATTATAGTGACAATGTTTATATCTTTACCCAGTCCAAATATAAACATTTTTTGTAATTAATTTTGATTCAAAATATAAATAATTCATTATTTGTAATTTTTTTCATTTATCATAAACTAAAACTAATAATTTATATTTATTACCTAGATTATTGTGTTTATGAATTTATGGTATTCTTCTCAGTTATCATAAACTAGAACTAATAATTTTTTTAAAAAATAGTAATATATATTTATAAGAGAATAAAAACTTAATTGGTATGTAAATTATCATTAAAAGACTTTTTTTTTAATTAAGAAGGGGCCAAAGCCCAAACAAAACAATTTTTTTAAAAAAAAAATGGTCCTCTCGGGCAAGGCTTGCCCCCTTTACGGGGAGCGCAGGCGACTAATCAGCCACTCAGGATTTTTTAAAAAAAAAATTATTCTTTTTTTTTGTTGTAATTATTTTTTTATTAAAGGTAATTGAATTTGAGACACTGTTGTATTTTTTTAATAAAAATTCATACATTAATTCATCAAATTGTGAATAATCCCTTCACCACATTGTACATATTTTCAGTGACTCATGGGCGGCATTGGCGCCGCAATGGGGAAAGTGGTCGGTGACATTAATGGCGCCACCGCCTAAAACAATGATGGGAGGAAAGATGAAGGCACGTTGTTCTCATCGGTCATCATGACAAATACTTCCTCTGTCTGAATTATAAAATATTTTTAAAAAAGAGTTAACATTTTAAAATATAAACTACTTTAATAAAATAAAATTTTATTAATGATATTTTTTAATATTATTTTTTTTAGATATTCTCTCTCTTCAATATTTTTTATTAATGAAGTATTAAATAAAGAGTATTTTTAAAAATTTATATTTTTATCTTGAAAAAGTAATGTTATAAAGTATATTTAATGAGTTCTACTAATATAAAAAATTTTATTTTATTTTTTTATTTTAGTGAAAGTATAATAAGGGTATCTTTTGAAATTAATAAAATTGAATTTTTTAAATAAAAAGGAAAAATCACGACGAGTTATTCAGTAATTATGGATGATTATTGATCATTGGTTATTAATATTATTTTTTACTTAAATCCTCTCAATTTAATATATATGAAATTATGAATTTCTTTAGAAAAAATATATTTGCAGACTCTTATAATTTACATTTATTTTTAATCAAGTCCCTCTAGATTTATTTATCAAAATTGGGCTTTTAGCCTTTTACACTTTCACATGTTAAGTGTGATGGCCCTTCTAGTCTTGAAGCTCACTAACACCGTTGATGTTAATGGAGCAAGATAAGATGTGAAGCGACTGATGACTCTGCACGTGCATAAATAAATAAGTAATACACATCAAATGTGATGTGGCTCTCTCTCCGGTTTGGAGTTAGGAAAACAACTCTAAATTTCCAATCCTTCAAGCTTGAAGTTGAGTTAGGGCAGACAATAGGTGGTGATAGAGTCAATAATTTAAATAAATTTAATTTATTTGAGCCGAGCTCAATTTAGGATGAGTTTAAAATATCATACTTTACATAAAAAGTTTATATAGTCAAATATAATTTTAATATCTTTGAGTTTCGGGTTTATTTGAATTGGCTCTAATCAAAACTTTTTAAAAATATCTTTTTTTATTTTTTTAAACTAATTTTAATTTAAGTAACTCTATTAAGTATAAAATATTATTTTAACTTTAAAATAATAAAATAAAAATTAATAATTTATTAACTTCATACTTAAGTAACTTTATTACTGTTTTGTTATATTACGTATAATTTATTTATAAATTTTTCTTTCACTAGAAAATTAATATCTTAGTTTTTTAAATATTACTTTTATCATGATCATATATAAACATTTTATATATTTTCATTAAATTATATTATTTTAATTATGATTAAATTGACTAATTCAATCATGGTTATGCCACTAATTTAAAATTATTATCCTAATTAGTTTATAGTCTTCAATAAATTTTTGGTAAACTGTACATTTTATTTTTAAAAATATGTAAAAAAACAGTTATCATTATATTATATAAAATAAAATTATATAATTATGAGTAAAATTATTTTTTAAAATTATTTTTTTTAACTTTTTATATTATTTAACCTGATATGTAAGAGCTATTTACTCTAATTTATTTTTAATTTTTAATTAAGTCTGACATGGCTAATAAATAAATAATTATTCAATAATATTATTTTATTTATTATGTTTATCTAGTGATAAAGTTGATAATTTGCACATGCCTAAATTTTATTTTTAAAATTATTTTTAATTTAATTTGTTACTTTAAAATTAATTATCTTATTTTATAAAAAATATAAAATATATTTTTTTGGATACTCAAGTCTCAAATGATGTATAGGATTCAAAATTTTTTTTAAAAAAATAAGTGGGTCATAAAATATAAAAATAAATATTAAAATATATCTTACACATTATTTTAAGATATTTTATTGATTAAAAATATATAAATATAAATATTTTTTATTTTTTTTAAAAAATAACTATAGTAATGCATTCAAATATATAGTATTTTAATATAAAATGATATAAAAATTAAAAAATTAATTAATATTTATTATATTTTATTTTAAAAAAATGTTTTTTTATTTGGGCCAAGTTAAAATCTGATCAAGCTTGGCTCTAATTTTTTAAACTTATTCAAGCTGGATATTGAAAAGAAAATATTTTTTTTAAACTTGATTTTAAATTTTTTGAATATGTTTCGATTGTTCCATCGATTTTGACTCAAATTATTAACTCGTGATGGCTAGGAAGACAGCAACTCAGCGCACAGAGGGGTCTTCGGCAAACGTCGTGTCTTCTGATTCCAAGGACTTCTTCGATGCAGGAGAGTTCCATGAATTCTGGTCTCAAAGATGAGGTAATGATTTGCACGTGTTTTCCTTCTCTGAACTAAAATCGGCAACTCCTGGGTTCAGCATAGCACTTTTGATCGGAGAGGGAGGGTTTAGCTGTGGAGGAATTGAAATTGAAGAAAACTGGGATAAGAATATAAGATATGCTTGAAATGAACCCATTCACAGTGGTTAATGGAAAGCCTTACCCGTAGGATATGCTTGAAACATTATGAAACTCTTGAGTTGATGAAATTCTGAAATTGGATCTGTTCTTTCCTCTACCCATTGGATCTGTTCTCCTCTTCCTAGTTCAATGAAACAATGACCTCTACCCTAGACGACGAGCAAGCAATAGGCCAAAACTTTTTGAATTATCCAGCTAGGCAAAGATCATCTACGTGGCAGAATAAATCCCCACATTGATGATTAAGCACTATGTTTTGTCTCAGTTAGCCGCACCAGATTTTTTTTTTTTAACAGTTAAGGGTTAATGGCCAATAATGTGTGAAAATGTAATGGTTCAATTCCAACTAATAAAACTAGAGAAGCTAAGTAAAAATTAATGCAAACTATAAAGACTTGTTGATATGTTTTCCCATTATTTTATTATTTTTATAAAACATAAAATATTTGTTCTCTTCCCTAAAAAAACAAAATTCATGAAATTT